ATATCCAATAGCAAATCGATAATTCTATAAGAGGATTCAAATTTTTACCACTTGATATCAACTCCTTAAAGCTGATTATATTTACTGATATTTTATTCACAAACAACTATGACTTATCATTACAAATCAGGTATTTAATTATATTAATGGATAAGTATAATAGAGCTAATATTATCTACTGGTTATTTATCAAATATAAAAGAATTATATAAAATGTCTTGGCTTCAGAATTTTATAAAATGACATTCGGATTCAATTCCAATATAGCGATTAAAAATATAATAGATAACGTTTTCACAAAGAAACGAGTCTCTTTTGTTATCTATATTAACTCCAAATCATTTTACAATTGTCTTACTAAACTAAGCACAACCTAAAAGAAAAGTTTAATAATCGATTTAATAGCCCTTAGACAATTATATAAATAATATAAGATCATAAAGATTAAATGGATTGATAGAAAATCTAATCTTATTGATGCAATAACGAAATCTAAGGCAGGAAAAGCACTCAAAGAATTAATTAATAATAATATTATCAAAATCAAAATTATAGAATAGATTGAAAAAAATTAAAGAGAAAGGGATTAATAGAATATAAAGAAAACTATTAAGAACAAATTCATTCGATTTTTAGATAATTGTTAATATCTGGATATTATTTATTTAACTGTAATAGATGGTAGGGTTAAGGGTTAGAATAATAAACAATACTTTGGCCATTACAGAATGTATATCTTTTTAGTATTAGTATCTTTATAGTTTAGTTCCTTAAAGCAATATAAACACGTGAAATACGATAGTACTATTGACACTTCATCACCACCACGGTGATACCAATAGATTATTTTGTATTCTAATTGGATATTTATCAAGTAATTCTTTTAATTATTTTTATCTAATTAATTTCAATATATATTGATAATTTCTGGATCAAAAATATCTTCGATTATAAATGAAAATAGTAATTGTAATAATAATAATTATAATAACTATAAATTTTCTATTATATTTTCGAATCCAAGTTTTTCTAGGTATTAGTGATATAGTTGCTATAGGATAGGATAGGATGGAAAAGAGGGGTAGGGGCAGGGGGGAAAAAGAGTAATAACAAAATAATTAAAAAGGGAATGATAACAAGATGATAAAATATATAATATCAAAATATTCAAATAGTTATTATTATTATAACTATTGAAATCATATTCAAATTGGGTAGAAGGTGGTTTAGGGAGTGCTAGCGAGGGAAAAAGTGGAATGTGAAGGGAGTACTATATAACAAAATGTTTTATTTTCTATTTTGATAATATATTTCTTTATATAAGAATTAATATATATTTATGCTCTATTTCAGGTTAATCCAAATAGAATAGTCTCGAAAATGTATGTTTAAAGAAATAGAATATAAAAAATTAGTGTGTACTTTTTTTATATAGTACATTTATTATACAAGGCACGAGCCAAACGGACCCTTATCTTTTTCAAAATGATAAGTTTTCTACATCATCTCGTTATTTTTTGTACTCGAGTACTCATACATACATTCTTCATCCTGTCACAGTGTCCTCTGAAAATCAATACCCTCTGTTTGCAGCCTCAAAGTCTACTGAATCTCAAAACTTAAAATGTAACATAAACTTCTTTTCATCGGCACCTGACTGTTTTGCTTCAGTCTACGGACTTTTACAACAAGTGGCCTAATAGATTCTTTCCAAGTGGGCAGGCATAGCATTGTTCCGTGTGAAATACCACCTGTAGGAGAGATGGTGAATCTCTACCTGGAAGTCCAGAATGGGTCTCTTTCGACATGTACGTATATTTCAATGTCCCATCTTCTCTTTGAATAGTGATGCTCTCTAAAAACAACATTTTTGACTCTGTGGACGAGAATTTAAAGAAATTATCATCGGCTCTTGACGAGGTCCCGGTGAGCCCCCTTAACCCCACTGTACCCAATAAGCGATCTGTGAGTGCAGTATCTTATCTTATGGCCACCAATGAATGTCAATATATTGCAAGGCGTGTATACGTGAAGGGTAGAATGATTTCTGGATGAAAATCTAAAAGTCCTGCATCATGAAGACTTTACAATCACCGATGAAGGGCTCTCCATTGTGCTACTCATGTTTGGACAACTGAGGAGTGAAAGATGCTTTGATCTATCTGCATTATGATTTTTTAGACAGCCAAGTCAAACGCTCTCTTGCTGCCGATCATCATCATACACGCTCTCCAAAGTCTGTCGCGAAAGAGTGATTATAGGATAGATCACTTACTAATCATGCAGCAGTGAAATGGCCTATGAAATTACGGGTTCTACTAGAAACCCCCATCTTCTCACATTCCAAACTACTCGCACAGCAAAATGCATCTACTTTGACGGCGATTTCGTAACCCTCATGGGAACAGGACGAATGGACACACAAATGCTGCACATCTACGATAATGTATCTGGGCCAGATCCTATTGGAGATTATGGACCAGATCTAGTGCAAGAGTACGATCGAGCAATAGGTCTATGTGCTTGGGTGCCTTAGAAAGGCCTTGGTGGAAGAAGTTGGGGAGTCGAAGGGTTTGTGAGAATGAACGCGGGATTTGAAATGATCTGGTGTGATTTCGAGAATGAAAGCTTGAGATTGGTAGGGCATTTGAATGTTACAGCTCCTTTATTACCTGAGTCTATATCGCAAGATTTGTATGAAGAGGACGAAACGGATATGACATCCTGCCTCCCACTACCATCTGCAACGACAAGATCGCCTCAAACTACTCAAACAAAAAATCCCACGGAAAATCATCCTGCCATGCCACCAAACTTCAGACATGACGCTGAAAGAGAACCATTTCTTCGAAGTCAAGATTGGGTCTGGTTTACTAGTGCCGCCACTCATTACGGATCTTCAGGAGCCGGCTCCATTAGTGGTGAAAACAGGGTTCAACTGCTCACCTGTGGAATTCTAAACTACTATTCTCCCAAATTCGAAACCCAAGCACGAGCACGCGGTGCCATAGAAAAGGAATCATTGAACTTCACACGTGAAGGGTTCTGGAAAGGTAGTTTCGGCGATGATGACACGAGAACGACGGCTCTAAATGCTTTGATGAGGAGAATATCACATACTTTAGATGGTGTGAGTACAGCTGCAGCTACAATGATGAAACAGGATTCCGAGAGAGTCCTTAAGAATCTAATATTAGGTCAATCTGGAAATTGTACCGGTAATGACTGGCAAACCATAACCAACCAAACCGTGCAAACCTACGCATCTCCCTTAGCCCAACTCTTCCAAACCCTACAAAACCACTCTTCCACTTCCATCCCATCATCCAACCATTCTGCACAGAGAAAATGGATATCATCCATGCGAGACCAAACCCACTCATTTCTCCTCCCATTCCTCGAATATCCGTATCCGTCTCCGACAGCAGACAAATCCATCTGAACGCGTGCATCCCCGCTCTTCACAACCACCCATTCCCGCTGCCACGACTAGCACACGCGTCTTCTGGATCCGTCGCTCGGCACAAGTATGTCCACACACCTCTCCCCCGAAGAAATCACTCTTAAAAATGCTATCGAAGAAACGGCATCAGAAATCTGCAATACCATAATCGATATTGGGTTTTCGGTCGAAAGTTTCTGGAACTCCAGTTACTCCACATACAACCCATCTCCGCCAGATGCAGATACAATAGAATCCACAAAGATACTTGTGGCCGAAATTAGGAAGAATTAATGGCATGGTTGGGTTGGGCCGGTAATTGGATAGGGTGTGAGGAGATATGTGGAGGGGGGGAGAGGTGCTATATTCCTATGTGGCCGATGCTAAGGAGGGGTAATGGACTGATTAGAAGGCCGTTGCGTGGGGATAGATATGGATATGGGGATAGATATGGATATGGGGATAGATATGGATATGCCAAGCCTCCTAGAAGAGGAAGCTACGCAACTGGAGGATATCATCCCGGACGACCGGGCTGGGGAATCAATGAAACGGATTTGTGGAAACCGAGGTGTGTGGGGATGGATTATGTTATAGGGGGATTGGGTAGGTGAGTCGGTAGATAGAGGTGATAGATGATAGATAGATATATAGTTGGGGGTTGTATGTTGTATGTTGTGTTGTTGTGTGTTGGGTTTAGATATTCATGTGTTTAATATGAGAATTGATGGTTTGTGATGAAGTTGAGGATATTATACTCTGTATCCTTTATATATTTGAGAATATATACTCGTACATATATAAATTCCCTTCTCCCCTTTTCCCACTCTTCACTCCTACATATACAACCCATCACAAATACAAATAAAAATACAAGCAACCTAACCACATACATACATACATACCCTTCCCTACACTTACTTACCTACCCACTCTCCCAAATCCCAAATCCCAATACTCGTACACCGCCCCAGGGTCAAACAGTCACTTTGAAACTTTTTTTTTCCTTTTCTTGGTTCGGTGGGCTTTTATCGACTTTGACCATTGATGTAAATGAGGAAGCGGGATGGATGCAAATTTCACGTCCGAACATACCGGTACATCATGAGCTTCTTTCTAGCTTCTAGCTTCTGGCTTCTGTTCATCCATGTATAAACGGTGATATTATATGTATATGGTATTCGCCGCAACAATCCATCGCTCAAGCCCAACTCCCAGCTAGCTCCTCGCCATATTCACCTTCATTTCCCCCAAGTCCCCAGACAGAGGAAAGAGGAAAGAGGGCCATTGATAGATAGCACTACCTACCAACTCGCGTGACCCCCATCCATACGAAGATCAGCACCTAAATCAAACACACCCCGTCAGTCAATTAGTCAATCCACCCCTCATTACAGTAGCACAAATCCCCCCAAAAAACAAAAAATAAAAACCAACATACCAGTCATAAAACTACTAGCACCACTCAACAAAAACACAGCCGCCCCCCTATATTCCTCCGGCTTACTCAATCTCCCCAACATATTCTGCTTAGGCCATTCGATTCTGCGTTCCGGAAATTTCTCGAATAATTCTTCCACCATGGCCGTTACGATGTATCCTGGAGAGATTGTATTGACGCGGATACCATGTTCGCCCCATTCGCTGGCTAGATTGCGCGCTAGTTGTAGAACGGCGGATTTGGATGCGTTGTAGGCGGGGCAGATGAGACCCTGAGATAATTGTATTAGATAGATGTAGAGAATCAAAATCAAAGGATAATCTAAGGAAAAATGAGGAAAAGTGAGGAAGTGACGAACCTTGTTAGCGACGGTTCCACTCATACTAGCAATAAGTACTATACTCCCCCCATTACCGAATTTAAGCATTTGTTTCGCAACCGCCTGGGCCGTCATGAATACCCCGGTTACATTAACACTCATCATGAGATCCACATCCTTAGCTGTATATTCCAACGCCGAAGTTTCCTGTTGGATACCCGCTGCTGCAATCAAGCCATCCATACGTCCTTCCTTCTGTGCTATTTCCTTAATTATAGAATTTAGAGAATCGACATCTCGGACGTCGATGCGGCGGTAAGAGAGCGATGTGCCAAGCTCTTTCTGGGCGCGCGAGGCGATGCGATCGAAATCTGGAGAGGGAGTTTCGAGACGGTCGAGAGCATAGACTGTGTTATGTTGTTAGTTCTTTCCTGTCTATCGGTTTTCATTGCATACCTTTAGCACCAGCCTCCAATAATGCTTCTGCCTGTACCAATCCTAATCCCCTTCCAGCTCCGGAAACACATACCACTTTATCGGCCAAACTGAATTCAGGTAGGCGTTTTATGGTACCTAGATATGATGGCGATTGGTCGCCCTGAAGTGCTGCACTCTCGGCCTCTGGTGCAGTTGGCGGTTTGCGTGTTTGACTTGATAGACGAGCAAGGACAGAGAAACTGCGTGTGAGAGTATAAGGATGGGGACGGAGATATCGAGTTGATACTCGGAGGATATTTCGAAGACTGGACATGACTTCAGTAGTCTTGGATTTGATTGAGAGATGAGAAGAGAAGATCAGGGAACTGAAGGTTATATGATTGGCCTGTACAGATTTGTGCAGGATCAGAAGCTCAAGTACATATAATTGAGAACACTAGATGAGAAAATGAGAAAAGGAAGTATAATTGCAGCATGTAGATCCTCTCGAAACTCAGGTTCTTAAGTATTTGAGAAGCTTCAAGCGTTCCGGGGGCATAGTGCGCTGTATGCTCCTACTGGACAATAGCTTGTGAGCATAACGGTTGAATTTCGTTCTTGCCAGCCAAGGAGTAACGAAGCCACTTAACTTTGCTGTGCTGTAAAGGTACGGCAAAGCCTCGTGATCCTTTGTTTTGTGTGTTGTGTTTCTAGAAGCCAATAATGCTTCAATTCTATGGTACAACATATTTATGTATGTTCAAGGTCCACTTTCGATAGTTCGGTTTTGTTGGAGTTTGAATTCGGGGTATAAGTATCCCCCACGACTCCACCCTTTAGTCTTTCTCCGCATGTTTCACCGGATTACCGGATAAAGTAATCCGTGGAGAAACCAAATGAGATTTTGCAGAGGGGGGTTGGTAGAACTCACAGATTTGATATCGGGCTACCTTCCAAAGTTAATACCTTGATGTTTCTATATTCGTGCTGCATATTGGCAGTCGTCATAAGATTAATTCTAAGATCTAGCTCTAGATGTCAAGGCATTGATTGACCATCGAACGATGCCTAGGCTCTGTCAAGTAATTGCTCGAAGTCTTCGATATTGTATATCCGATTCTAGAATAGCATTCTCTCCTTTAATTTATCGTTTTCCACGATATCTTTTTCTTTACCCAAGAACTCTGGAATATCCCAAGTGCAATTTATATACCTCCCAGCTAACCATTCTCTCCTCTCTTGTGATAAGAAGCACATGGAATCGCCCGCAACTTCTGGATTATCCCTCAAGACTATTTCCGAATATTAGTAAAAGAACTCCCCTTTACTCTTATAGAGACCACGATTACCTTCATGAAGATATGCCGGCAATTTCTTTGCCATATCCGTAGCAACAGCACCAGGATGTACACAATAAGCCAGTATTCCTTGTTCCGCATACTCCGTCATCGTAAACTCTGTGAATCTAAGTAATGCGAACTTCGACGTTTGATACCCGCTAGCTCCAGGTCGTAATGAATTGGCTCCGGTACTAGCTACATTGACGATTGTCTTTAGTCCGCCCTTCAACATCAAAGGGAGAAATCCACGTGTCATCCAATATACACCACGTATGTTGACTTCGAATGTCTGCCACCAATCGTCAGGATCTGAATCAATTATCGATTGACTGTTCGCTAAGTGTCCCGCATTGTTGATCAAAATGTCCAATCGCCCGAAACTCTTCTCGACATTTTCAACAGCATCTTTGACGCTCTGGTGATTGAGCAGATCAAGCTTGATCAATAAGACTTTTGGTGGGACCTTTCCTGCCGCCTTTGCTGCCTCTTGGATTTCTGTCTCGAGTGAAGATAGATCTGAACGTGCACCGATAGCAATCCCTTCAGCTCCGGCTTTCGCGAATGATATAGCTGTAGCTCTGCCAACACCTTTCGAAGCACCTGTAATGAAAACTATATGTTTGCTGTGGTTAGATTTCGTGGCGGAGTCGATAGCGGGGTATGAATTGCTATGCAGGGTAGCTGTAAGATTTTGGCCTGTTTTCTGTTAGATAACGACGTAATTCTGAACGATCAGATTTACCATTTGGCAGAGGAACAGGTGGATATGACATTGCGTCTTGTATTTTTGAGATCTGAAATATGGATCACAACGAAAGTTGAGGTGCGAGAGGAAGGAAAGAACGGAAAGTGATACTTGGTCAGACATGAATGGAAAGATTATGTAGTGGATACAGTATCATGCAGAATGACAAATGTTGCTCCCACATTCTCCGCCGATGGCAGATTCTTTCGACTCACCTTCATGATCAATGTAATGAGAAAGTTCCAAAATTTTACCATCAGACATTCCAAATAAGCTTTGGAAGACATTAAATACTCATATTACATAAGCAATATCCCCCTTGTTCATCAGACAGCTTGAGTAAAATACCGGTTGTCATCACATCACAGCATCAAATTCTGAAGCCAGAAAACTTAGCAGTACTAAGAAATTATCTTTGATTGTTTAGGAATAGTTCGAGGGTGCTGATATTGTCCAAATGCTTGCAATAACTTCAATTTTAGTCTAGCTATCATTTCCGTTCTTCCTTCGATTTGTTCATTGATTAGTCAACTGCACCACCGTGACGGACAAGTATATACCATAGTACGACTTTTAGGATTTCTTATAGTCCAGCAGGTCCGAAAGCGTCCGATTTTCTACTAGAGTTTCTATAACCTTGAAGGTTGCTTTATCTCCATGATCCTGAATATCTTGCACCCTGCTTTAATTCTGAATTATGTACCACCCAGAAACTCTTCAAGGTTTTCTCATGGTTCTTCCTTTTCTCTCTCTTCTCAAGCTCATGCTGCTACGCCGCCACCATACTTGAACTCAAATAATAAGCACTATAAAAAGAAAGAGTGACTAGGTCTCCAATCAAAAACCAAATGGGGCCCTCGCTGAAGGTAACATTGCTGACGACAATCTCCCATGAATGTGTATGTCTCACGAATGCCAAAGAGAAGAAGGGCATGAGCCACGGACGGAATGGATGGAAGTGGGGAATTTCGAAAGATGACCCATATGCTCAAAGGTTGCAAGAATACGTCGACGCAGTAGAATGAAGCCTGAAATTCTACCACTATATTAGCATGCCTTTGACAGTTCAGTTTGGCTGCTACTAAAAAAGAGTGGTTCCTCTTGAAGACATAAGACAAATGATATCATACGGGTCGAGGCTTCTCAGAACATGATTCTAGAGGAGAGGACATAATGGATTGGATATCAACTCCTAACTCAGCTGCTGATAATGACTTACAAGTACTGGAGTAATATAGCTGGACTTTGAATGAGCTCAGACACATTTTATTTGCCGCCGTTTCTTTCTGAAGCATCTAATTTGATGACAAAAGAAAACTCTCTGTCTCTATTTATCATTTTCGAAGATCCTTCTCCCTCACTCAGTATTCAAGTAGATCATATACTCGAGTACTATATAATAGTACAAGCAAACCAAACAAGAGAAGATTAGGTCCTTCAATCGTCCGACTCGGAAGTACCGTAGTGGTTGTTTCTCTACTCGTGGATTATAAATCGTATTTAGGAAATACAAATTAAAGATTTTCAGATAACTACTCCATATTGTCTAATATCGTATAAATGTAAACTCATCATATCGAGTCGAGAGAGTCTTTGGAATACTCAGTAGCGTAAACGTATTCCTTTTTCTTTCTGGTAATAATATAGTGGATGAACTTATGTTTGTTTGCTTCCTCGGGCTTCCAACTATTTCTTACGTTGTGTGGAGAAGAGCTAGAGCTGAGATATGTTGTCAAACTCAAACTCAAACGCAGGCTTAAAGATATTGGAAAGTCTAATGTAAGGTTTCAAGTTGTTTCGTGAGGTCTGAATGAGCTCGCTATCAGGAACTATTCGGTGATACAAACTAAAACAGATATTTGTGACTTGAAACTGGAGATAGATAGTGTTACATTATTGAAGAAATTGCTTTATGGTTGTTGATTATTTGACTTTGTAATGTTATTAGGTGGTGGATTGATGAAATAGAGATGGTGCTAGTATACTGTAGGTACTAACTAGTTTCCAAAAGTCAAACATTCCATGTTGAATTTATGATAAGTTTCAATATGATAAGTAAGTTGAGCTGGAGCTTGATTGTTGTCATCAGACTTGACTTCCTTCTCTATTAAGATTCAAGAAGAGAAACCTAATACAATATATGGTAAATACCTGGAATAGCATCATTTTGAAATTTGATACCCGAAATAACCTAAGTGTTAATCGAGATATGATATATGCTATTTCAGGTTAAATCTTTTGTGTGATTCTAGTTGCAAAATAAAATATGTTAATTTGATCTCAGGAACAGAAATGATGCTATTCTAGTTACAAATTTATATATTAATCTGATTACAAGAAGAAAAAAGGTATTATTCCGGTTACAAAATTTATATATTAATTTGGTTGTTAAGAAAAAAAGGTATTATTCTGGTTACAAAATTTATGTATTAATTTGGTTATAATAAAATAAAGTTATTGATATGAAAGGATATAGGGAGGAGGGAAGGGGAGGGGCTATACG